GGCGGTTTTCAAAATGTGGTTCTCGCCTTAGCGCCGCGAACATTCGTCTCAAATCAAATATTTTCAAGCGTGTCACTGATGCCCATGGCTAACCTAGCAAAATGGTACTTGGAACGATTCAGCAATTCCAGGGCGCAACTGTTATGTGGATTCGCAGTGTTGAAGTCCCAAGAATGGCGTTCTGGCACGATTCAGGATCGTCAAGACGCAGCAGTCAGGTAGATTCGTGACGTTGAAGTCCCGAGAATGGTGCTCTGACACGCTTCGGGATCTTCAAACGGTTGTCTCCCAACAGGGCACTTCCCTCAGTGGAAGTTAACTCTTGTAAAGGCCTATGAAGAGAAGGCTTGCTGGAAGGGTTTATCATCGTTGAAGAGTCTTGGGTTTACACTGATTCTCCTCCTCCTCCTCCTCCTCCTCCTCCTTATCATCATCACCACCATCACCACCATCAGCATCAGCATCACCACCACCACTATCATCCTCATCCTCATCCTCCTCATCATTATCAGCATCATCAGCAGAATTATCAGCAGCATCAGTAGCATCAGGATCATCAGCAGCATCAGCATCAACATCAGCATCGTCATCATCATCAACATTCGCATCACCATCATCATCATCATCATCATCATCATCATCATCATCAGCAGCAGCAGCAGCATCATCGTCACCATGGTACAGGACGTTATGAGTACCTGGAGCTCCTGCAAGCAGAAGCCACCTCCTCATCCCCCTCCCGAAGGACAAGCAGGAGGCAGGAGGAGCAGGAGGAGCAGGAGGATGGGGGCAGTTCGCACATGGTGGCCACCGCCAACGGAAGGCACGAGCCTCCGCACTCCTGCGGAAACCCCCCCCCGCCCGAGCCCCCGAGCCCTTCCCTGGGAACTCCTCGCCTGCCCCGGCGGGCGTGGCTCCCCCCTCGCCCAGGCCGGGGGACTGCGTCGGGGGCTTCCCGACGGCAGGGGTGCGGCCCCTGTGCCTCCTCTGCCTCGGGCGAGAGTGGCCACGCCCACTCTCCACGCCGCCACTCGAGGCCGCCGCCAGCCCTTCCTTCTCGCCCACAGCCGCCGGCGCTCCATCTCCTCGCCGTTTCGGCGTGCCGCCATCGACTCTCACCCCCATCACCCGCCCCACGCTCTTCACACTCTGCCGCTCGCGCTTCGCTGTACCATGGGGTCCAGAGTCACACATGGGCTGGAGGGATTCACACCCGCCACCCGGCAATCTCCTCAACATCTCAGCGTGCCGCCGATCCTGCACATGGTCCCTCTCCCTCTCCCGGTGTATACATTGTCCTCCCTCCTCCCTCCCCCCTTCCCCGTCCACTGCTGTCTTCCGCCCCTGCCTCTGTTTCACACAGCCAGCGACTCCGAGGGCATCCGCCCCGCCCCTGGAGTCACCCAACCCAGCTCACTGGTTTGATCCCCACCCCCAGGACCGACTAACCCGTGGGGGGGATAGCCGAGTCGGCACGACACAGGAGGAAGAGGAGTAAGAAGAAGAAGAAGAAGAAGAAGAAGAAGAAGAAGAAGAAGAAGGAGGAAGAGGATGATGATGATGATGATGAAGAAGCAGAGGAAGAGGGAGAAGAAGAAGAAGAGAAATAAAACTAAGAAGAAGAAGAAGAAATACGACTAGGAGGGTGAATGACAATGAGGAAGAGAAATAGGAGAAGGAGGAGGAAGAGGAGGAGGAAGAAGAAGAAGAAGAAAGCGCGTCTGGCCCGCCCCAAGCCTCTCCCACCCCACCCCACCCTCGCCTCCAGGTGCCCTTCGATGCCAGGGGCGATCATGCTGGCGAGCCTCGGAAGGCGGAGGGGCAAGGGAGGGAAAGGGAGAGGGAGGAGGCAGAGATGAGGGAGGAGAGCAGGAGGAGGTAGGAAAAATGGGGCCGACTGTGGGAGCGGAGCAGGAGGGCCCCGGGAAGGCGCGGGGGAGGAGGGGAGGGAGATCAGAAGAAGGAGAAAGCGAGGTGAGAAAGGCAACCGGGCGCGGGGGGAGGAAAGCGGGGTTCGGGAGAGAAAAGGGGGAGAGAGAGCTGGGATAATGATACGCGCAAATTCTGGAGTCCCACGAGCGCTCTGGGCGTGGGTGGTCGAACAAGTTTTGTCGTCTCTCCCCCCTCCCTCCCCTGCTCGGGAAGAGGGCGTTATCACTGTTCCCGATCAGTGTACACCCCCCCCAGGCGACCGGCAGCCAACCAGGGACACTGCCGACCCCATGCCCACACCGCCCAACCATCCCTCTCAGAAAACAATGCAAAACACACACTCTGCCTCCAAATTCGAAGCGTGCGCAACCGACCCGATGCGGGACCCCCCCCCCAAACCATACCTGTCGAAAACAACGCAAAGTACACTTTGGGGCAAAGTCTTGAATCATGTTCGTAAGGCCCGCGAGCACTTTGTATTGCTTTTTGACGGGGACGGCGGGTGTCAGCGTATTGCCTGATGTGCGCAGGGCTACCATCCCTGACAAATCAATGCAAAATGTTCTTCCCAGCTAAATCTGGATCATGTGCGGCCACCCCGCGATCACTGCCAAGTACTTTTTGACAGGAACGGCGGGGGTGATGGCGTTATGGCCTGCTGTGCGCAGGCCCACCAGACACAAAGATGGGCACTGGCTTTCGATAAAGATGGTGGGGGCCCACATGTTTCCCGATGTTTGCTGTCACTTGCGCAGGCGCACCTGACGTACCTGCACGTGCCCCGAACGTGGCGCACCTGGCGCGGCTGGGATATGCGGCACACCTGGCGCACGCGGAGCACGTGGCGCGTCTGGCGCACCAGGCGTGCCTGGCAGGCTCGGGCCCCAGGGATGCATGGCGCCCGTGGCGCGCCTGGCACGCGTGACGCACCTCGCCCAAGCGTCGCGCACATGGGGTCGGTGTTTGTTTCCAGTAGCTGTCCATCCAAAGACGGCCGCTGAACATGCTGTGGCTCGGGTGGTACGTATATGTTGGAAGGGTGGGTGGGAGTGAGCTAGACGGCTTACTATGTAGGAGGGTGTCTTGACCTCCCCACCTCCTCCCTTAAGCCTGGGAGGGGGGAGGGGCGGGAAGCTGGAGCGACCAAGATGGCCCAAGATGGTTCGAAGAGGGCCCTCGGCAGCCCAAGACGGCCTCCAAGATGGCTCAAGATAACCGAAGATGGCTCAAGATAACCGCCGAGATACCTCCAAGAGGCCCCAAAGCAGCCTCAAGAGGAGGTCTGGCAATCGTTTCTGGATGGGCTGGTGGGGATACGCGAAGCGCCAAGGATTCGGGACCACCAGGAGGTCTGGACCAATCCACCACGCTCCTTCATCATCCACGCCGTGCCCGGAATGAGAGGCAATGGGATGTTGTAAACCCAAAAGCAATTGCGTTTGAAAGGGGATGTGTTCATCACTTCCCGTTGGCAAGGACGAGGAGGAGCAGCAGGCGGAGGACAGGAGGAAGAAAAAGAGGAAGAGGAGGAGGAGGAGGAGGACGAGGAGGAGGCGGAGGAGGAGGAGGACCCAGCGTTACATGAGGCGTGTTTTTGTCGAGGATCCTGACTCTTCATCACGGGGGGCATTGAAATCCCACCAGCCCTCTGGGCGTAGAAGGAGGAGGAGGAAGAGGAGACGGAGGAGGAGGAGCAGCAGCAGGCGGAGGACAGGAGGAAGAGGAAAGGAGGAGAAGGAGGAGGAGGAGGAGAAGGCAGGATAGGAGGATGACAGGAGAAGGAGGATGGGAGGAGGTGCAGGAGAGAAGAAAGACGATAGACTGGGAAGAAAAGAGGGGTGGGAAGAAACGGGAGGAGGAAAGAATAAGGGGAGGGGTTCATCACTGATTTTTATTGGTATACACCCCCTCCCCCACCTGATTGAACCAACCCCAAACATGCCCCCCCACACCAACCATCCCTATCGCAAAAGAATGTACAATGTAATTTGCCACCATATCTGGAGCATGTCCGGGCGCCACGCGACCATTTTGCATCGGTTTTTGACAAGGACGGCGGTGGCGTCGGCATGTTGTTCGCTGCACGCAGGCCAGCCATCCCTTTCAAAAACCAACACAGAATGCGTTTTGCCCCCACGTCTGGACCATGCGCAGGCGTCCCGCGACCATTTTGCACCGGTTGTTGACGGGGACGGCGGGGGGGCCGTCATATCGCTGAGACGTGGAGCACATGCCGCACCCGGCGCGCCTGGCTCGCTTTGGCCTCCAGGGTGCCTGGCGCACCCGGAACCCGTGGCGCACATGGCATGCGCGGCGCTCCTAAGCAATATGCGGAGGCTCCATCAGGTGGTACTCATGTGTTGGGAGGGCGGGTGGGAGTGAGCTAGACGGCTTGCGGGCGAAAGGGGGCCTCGACCCCTCCCCTACACCCCCTCCCCTGGGCCTGGGAGGGGGGGGCGGGTAATTGGCGGGGGTGCTTTTTTGATCGCAAGCGCATCGGAAGACGCCAGGCGCCGTCAGAACGAGGCGTCGATGCAACGGCCCTACTTAGCGCACGGAAGGAGAAGGGCGAAACGAAGTGCCACTCAGAAGAGCGCCACCACCAGGACGCACACCTGGGCGCCGCGCCGCACATCGAGGGAATTAAAAGAACCCTCGACCCAGAAGAGGAGGGACGGACGCGCGGGCGCTCGACGGAAGATCCCGATCGCCAGTCACCAGATGGCGCGAGGAGTCGGCGCGGGAAGGCCAAACTCCAGCGAGGAGTCGGCGAGGGGCCAACGCCCGGGGGCATGGGCAGGCCCCAGATTCGCAACGAGGGGGGGGCCGGGTGTCCGTCTACCCCGGGCGGGAAGAAGAGACGGCGGACTCAAGACGAGCCGCGGGCTTGGGGGCCCTGGAGAATCCCCGAAATAGGGAGAGGCCAGCAAGCAGACCTCGGGCGCGGCCAGGGTGGCCACGACGAAGGAAAGGCCCGCAGACCAGAGTCCTGGGTCGGGGGAGGCCCCCAGCGACCTCACGCGCAAAACTGGGGCGGCGGGAGAACACGAGCGGCAGGCCGTCGCAGGCCAGGCGCGACCGCGAGACGCGGGACCCGGCAGCAAGATGCGAGGGGCCTCACCGACAAGATACTCCCCCAAGGAGGAGGGGAGCGTTGGCCCGAGCGCGACGGGCCGAGGTGGTTTCCCTGCGGCCCCGCGCGCTAGGGCGGCGCCGCCGCGCACCAGCCGCGGCGACGCCAGCCACCACCGTCGCCCGAGGGGGGCCGGCGGCGGCAGCGCCAACGGCGCCGGTAGCAGCAGCAGCGGCAGCCGCGGCGGCCGTGGCGACGCGCGGCGCGACAGGCGGAAGCGGCGCGCGCAGCGTCAGCAGACGCGCCCCAGCCAGCGCGGTGGTCTCGCGGCGGGAGACGACAGAGGGGACTGGGCGGCCCCGTTGCAGCGGCGGGGGCGGGCGCAGGGGGGGCGACCCGGCGCCGCGGGGCGCAGAGCCGCAAACGACCCGAGCAAGGGCAGGCCGGGGGGCCAGGGGAGGGCCAGCGCCCCCAGCTGCGCGCTCGCAGGGCGGCATTAAACACGAGGCCGGGGCGGCCGCAAGGGAGGGTCGCTGCCGGGCAAGGGGGCGCGCGCGCGCGACAGCGACTAGCGGTCGCAACGACGGCTAAAGGAGATGAGCACGGGGGACAGGAGCAGCGAACGAGCGACCAGCGGCCGCCCAGTTGGGAGAGCCCGAGCCGCACTGATGCAGAGCACGGCGGCTGCGCCAGCGCCGCGTGTAGCGACGAGGCGGCGACGCCCCCCCAGCGCCTCGGCGGTCTCGCGGTGGAAAATCGCGGAGGGAGGCCGGGGGGCCCCCTGCAGCGCCCAGGCGGGCGCGCGGGGGGGGGGGGCGACTCGTCGCCGAGAGCGCAAAGTCACAAGCAGCCCGAAGCGAGGGCGAGCTGGGGGGCCACAGAAAGCTCGGCGCCCCCAGCTGGGCGCTCCCCGGGCGGCATTGGGCGCAAACCATGGCGGCCATCAGGGCGGCCGCCCGTGGGGCGAGGGGGGGCGGCTGGAAGCGACTAACGGTCGCAGCATACGTTGAAAGCAGAGCGCGAAGGATCGGGCGGCGGGCGCGACTAACGGTCACCAAGTGCGCGCGAACACAGCTGAGACAGGCGGGGGATGTCAGCGTCACGGGCCAGGGGGTTTCCCCGTCGGCCTCCCACACTAGAGTGGAGCCAAGACACCTATGCCCGCTCGGGAGTCAAAGCGCTGCACGGCAAAAGAGGAACCCCAGCGCGCGAGCGGCCCGGGCGACTCAGCACGCGTCGTGAAAAATGACGCTTCAGTGACGTAGCAGGCAGCACAGTGTCCTCCCAGCTGGGGCGAGGAGGACTCCAAGGACCCCAGGGCGGCGCCTAAGGCGGGCCCAGAGGGGCGGCACAACGCCAGGGGGCGAGCCAGCAGCCCCAGCTGGGCGCGTCCGAGGCGGCATTGGGCACGAAGCCAGGTGGCCCACCGGGGGGGCCTCCCGCGGGATTGGCGTTGGAGGCGGGCAGGCGAGGCGGGAGGAGCCCGGGCCCGGGTCCGTCGGCAAGTGGCTCACGGGAGCTGGCGCCCACTGGAGAGAAAGCGGCAACGGCAGTGCGCGAAGGCAGGCAACCCCGTCGGGGTAACTGATAGCATGCCCGGGGGAGAGCGAGGGTCCCGTTTGTGCGGGTTGGACATTGTGGAGACGGTGGCGCGTGGGAAGGGGGTCTACTGCCGCGCCCAGAATTGGCGCGAGCTCGCAGCCCGACTAGTAGCCTCTTGGTTTGTCTGCCAAGAGGCGCCCTCAGCCCATTAGTCTTTACCCTTCCTTGATCGGTGCACCTTTACCTTTCCCACGGTTGGCGAACTTGTCGCGGACGATCGCCCAGTTGACCCGAAGCCGCAGGGCCTTGTCCATAGTCATTGGTTTGCAGTTGTGCTGATGCCAAGCCCGAAGGAAGTCCTCGCCGGACCTGGGGTCCTGCTTGGTGAGGCCCGCGCAGACGTAGCCAGTACTGGTGGGGCGCGAGTGCGTCCACTGGTGCCAAGCCCCGCTGAAGTAATCCCCAAGCTCTCCTTGCACGCGTTTCACAGTGTCGGCGTGGTCCTCGTCACCGACGGGGGAGAGCTGAACCTGTTCCAGCGGGGTCCTGTAAATGCACCGACCTGTGTATGGGTCGCTTAGGTCCTGCGAGGTGATGGGGTTGGGCCTGGGGGCCGACCGCGCGTCTGCGTGGGGGGGCCGACCGCGCGTGTTGGGTGCGACCCCACGACTCGTCCGCGGTGGGGGATGTGGCTGTGTAGTCGGACGGGCCGACCGTGTCCTTATCGCCAGCCGCGCGCGGCGGGGACCCTCACCTGACTCAACTGCTGGTGAGGTGGGGCTGCAGTAGTCGGAGCCCACTGATGGGCTGCGGGGGGCCCCCTGGGCGGGGAGGGTGGAGCCGAGCTAGGGGAAGGGGTCAGGACGGCCACGGCCGCCTTCCTTATCGTTGGGGCCTCGGAGGCCCCGGCCGCGAAGGCGTCGGAGACGGCGTCGCTGGGGACCGCCTGTGCGGCGCTGTTGTCTGTGGGGGAGGTCCTCGATGCACTGACCCTGCGGGAGGGAGAGCCGGAGCCCCGGGGGAAGGTGCCCCGACTGCAGGGCATCTCCAGCACCTGAGCTCCTCCGTGCCGAGAGCGGCTCTCCGCTGGGGAGCACGGGCTGGGCCTCGCGGGCCGAGGTGGGCTGCGCCCGCGCTGCGTGCGCGACGTGGGGGAGCGTGCTGAGGGGGCCCAGTCAGGCAGATCCGAGGAGGGGCCTGTGAGAGAACGGAACTCGGCGGGCGGGGGCCGACTGCCGAATCGTAGCCACCACTCGTTCGCGCGGTGCTCCTTGGTGGGGGCGGCGCCCAGCTGGCTGCACAGGTCCTGGGTTTCTGTGAAGGGGCAGTGGCTGGTGGGGATACGCGAAGCGCCAAGGATTCGGGACCAGCAGGAGGTCTGGATCAATCCACCACGCTCCTTCATGATCCACGCCGTGCCCTTGTACATGAAGTGAGGGTCAATCTGATGTTGTAAACCCAACGGCAATTGCGTTTGAAACGGGAGTTGTTCCTCACCTCCCGTTGGCAAGGAGGAGGAGCAGGCGGAGGAGGAGGAGGAGGAGGAGGAGCAGCAGCAGGCGGAGGACAAGAGGAGGAAGAAGAGGAGGAGAAGGAAGGACAGGAGGAAGACAGGGGAAGGAGGAGGAGGGAAGGAGGTGCAGGAGAGGAGAGAGACGAGGGAGTGGGAGAAGGGGGAGGGGTGGGAAGGACGGGGAGGAGGAAAGAGAAGGGAGGATGGGCCTGTCAAAGCAGTCGCTCCTGTTGCGGATGGCCATGAAGCGGTCCTCCGCGCACGGGGGCGCCGAATCTGCACAGGATGCCCTCTGGACCTGGCACGCGGATCCCTCTGAACCACGCCACATCATGTCTTGGCACCCGGATACCTGGTCGACAGACATGCGAGACACATGTCCATGCGGTAGAATCGATCGAGTAAATGGAGCCTGGAACCGCAGCCTCCTCGTTGAACTCGTGGTGCTTCGTGCACGTTTCTGCTGTTCAGTCGCTGCACAATTCTCACCTATCCGGGTGTTCCCCAAGACTGCCCTCAGAAAGAAAAGGAGGAGGGAGGAGAAGAAAGAATCGAAGGACGAGAAGGAGGAGAATAAGTTTGATGCCGATAAACATCCCTTTATCAACATTTCTAGTATCCGGGGGGGGGATCCGCACCCCAAAAAAAGACCCCCCGCTCCTAAAGCCCCTGCTGGGCCTAGGCACCGGACACAAATCGGCCAGGAGGGCGGCCGAACGGCCCCGCGAGAGCCAAGAGAGGGAGATCGAGCTGGCCTTGGCAGCCTTTTCCTACAGGACTGCCTCCAAGACTCCAACATGCCGCCAAGAGACACTAAGAGGCCCGAAGACGCGCCCGAGAGGCCCCAGAGACCCCCAAGAGGCCTCCCAAAGGTCCCCCTGCAGACCACCGAAGGCCTCCCGAACGGATCTGAAAGGCTACCGAAAGGCCATCAAGAGACAACTCGGATCGCCGAGCATGACGCGAAACAGGCCTGAGGCAGCGGAGCATGCTCGTGTTTGGATAAAGTGAGGGAGGAAAAGAAATGGGGGGGGAGGAAGGAGGAACAGGGATGAGCAGCAGGAGGGGCAGCAGGAGGAGCGGCATCAGGAGGAGCAGGAGAAGGAGCAGGAGAAGCAGCAGGGGGAGCGGCATTAGGAGTAGCAGGAGGACAAGCAAGCGGGGACGAGAAGGATGAAGAGAAGGACGGGGAAACGGAGAGGAGGAGATGGAGGAGGAGGTGGGAGAGGAGGCGGAGGGCCAGAGAAGGGAGACAGAGGCCCGAGGAGGAGCGGGAGGAGGTGGGGGGAGGGAGTGAAAGTAAAGTGAAAGTAACCACGGCGCGGAGCAGGGCAGGGTCTGGGCGCACAGGAAGACGGGGAAGGCGGGCGGGGGGACACAGGAGGGCGGCCGCGCGATGCTGGCGGCGGGCCCCCGCTTGGCCCGCAGCCGTGGTGGCAGGCGGGCGAGCGCGCCCAGGCGCCGAGGAAGAGCGCAGAGAGGACGAGGCGGAGAAGCGAGCTGGGCGGGCGGCGGCGGGGGCGGGTCCCTCTCGTTCTGCGTCAGGAACAGGCCCGCCTCCGTCCGCGCGTCCTCCTCCTCGGCCTCTGGCCCGAACTCGGAGTCCTCCAAACGGAGCGCGCGCGCGCGTGGCGCGCGGCGCGGGTCCAACCCCGAGGCCTGCTGCAAGGCGGGCCTCGGCGCCGCATCCCCCCTCTCCCTGTTCTCTCCTCCCTCTGGGAGCGCCTCTCTGGCTACACGGTGCGACGGGCCACTGGGCAGACGTGACAAGTTGCGCTGAACTCTGCCATGGCTTGCGGCGGACCTCCGACGAATCAACCGGGATCCCGAAACAACTGCGTCCTCCAGGGTCATGGCCTCGGCGGCGAAACACGAAACGGGCCCTCCCTCTGCTCGTACACCCCTTCCTCCCCCCGAAGAACATGAGCTTGTCGCAGCGACGGCTTCGTGAGGCTCTGGCCTCCCTGGAAAAGCTGGGGGCACCCTGGGCCGGGGCCATCTCTGTCAACACCCGAGATCCTTGATATCATCAGAGGTCCCTGGAGGCCTGTGGAGGCCCAAGAAAGACCACAGACGGTCAAAACCCTAAATCCGCGATCCTCGATCCTACTCCTCCTCCTCCTCCTCCTCCTCCTCCTCCTACCCAACCTCTCGTTATCCTCCTCCTCCCTCCTCCTCCTCCTCCTCCTCCTCCTCCTCCTCCTCCTCCTCCTCCTCCTCCTCCTCCTCGTCCTCCTTCTCTGCATCCTCCGCCTCCTCCTCCACCTCCTCCGCATCTCGTCAACCTCCTCCAGTCCTTTTTCCCCCGAACTAACTCATCCCTGTCGCACCCCGAGGCCGGTCGAAAGGGCGGGCCGGATGATTCGCCTGAGACTTTCTCACCACTTATGACCCTGAAGCTTCGGAACTGGAAACAGCTACACAGATGGAGGGCGGGTCGCTTCCACAAATGTGACTCTCGCCTTAGCGTCGCGCACATTCGTTTCCAAAATGCAAGAGTTTCACTGCTTGGGAGCGGGTCGCTTTCAAAATGTGGCTCTCTTCTTAGCGCCGCGCACTTTCGTTCTCGAAATTTGAAAGAGGTCCACGGATTCAAGGCGAGTGGAGGAGGAGGAGGAGGAAGGAGAAGGAGGAGGGCGGAGGAGGAGGAGGAGGAGGAGGAGGGAGGAGGAGGAGGAGGGGAGGAGGAGGAGGAGGAGGAGGAGGAGGAGGAGGAGGAGGAGGAGGAGGAGGAGGAGGAGAGAGGAAGGAGGAGGAGGAGGAGGAGGGAGGGAGGGACGAGGAGGAGGAGGAGGAGGAGGGAGGAGGAGGAGGGCGGAAGAGGAGGAGGAGGAGGAGGAGGAGGGAGGAGGAGGAGGAGGAGTCAGCACCGCGTACTTTCGCTTCCACCATTTGCAGGAGCTGCGCGGATCGAGGGCGGGCCGTGTTCAGCATGCGCTGTCGCCTTGGGCGCCGCGCACACTCGTTTCAAAGAACAGCACGAGCTTCACGGATTGGCGGCGGGTCGTTTCCAGAATGTGGCTTTCGCGTTCGCGCCGCGAACATACGTGGTAAACATGTGCGCGAGTTTCAGGGCTCCAGATGGTCAACGTGCCAGAAATTGTTGTTTGGGAAGGACTCAAGAATATGAGGGCACAACAATTACCTTGATTTGCGGAATTCAAATACCAGGAATGGTGTTCTGGAACGATTCCGGATCGTCAAGACGGAACAGTCATGTTGATTCGTGGCGTTGGAGTCCCGAGAATGGTGTTTTGGATCGACTTAGGGTCTTAGAACGAGCGTCTCCCAAAAAGGCAGTTCCCTGAGTGGAAATGGACCCTTGCAGGGGCCTATGGAGAGTGAGCTTGGAGAGAGGGTTCATTCCAACATCATTGATGAGTCTTGGGTTTCCACTGATCCTCCTCCTCCTCCTCCCCCTCCTCCTCCGGCTCCTCCTCCTTCTCTTTCCGCTGCCCTACTCAATCCTTTGCTCCCTGCCCTGTCCAGCGCTGCCCTGCCATCCTCCTCCTTGGGTAATGAAGGGGAGGACTGAGGCGGGCCAGCAGGCACCAGCACGGGGCGGGGCAGGGTGTCCATCTCGATGTAGCCGCCGAAGAACGACAGCTTGTATGTCAGGTCGCGATTGCCCATACCACTGAGGCCCTTCACGCCGTCGGAGAAGGACGAGTCCGACCGGGTGTTCAGCGAGCGCCGCGT